GTCTGGGTAAAAACTGCACTTCTAGATTTTTCTATTTCTTTTTCTTATTTTAAAGTTAGAATCTGAATTTTGTTTCTGAGATTTTATTTTAAATGACATTGTAATTAGACAACAATGATGTAAAGTTTACATACTGTGTGGTAAGATGCTGCAGAACATTTTAAAGCTGGATTAATGTATCTCCTGGCATGGATTAAAGATTCTTCACTGTATGAGTGAATAGTGGTGAATACTGTCTTACGGGTGATATGCTACCTGACCAATGTTCAGTAAATAACACATCTGACTTAATTTTTTTTTTTTTAAACTGAGCACAGCGATACTTTGTATTCATAGTACTTCAGAATACTTTCTTATTACATAGCTCCTCAGAAATGAATTTACTGAGGCTGCCAATTTTTAGCCAAAGCCTACAAGGAAATGTGTCTGATGCCAGTAGGAAATTCAGTGAAAACATAACATTAATACCTATGCTATCCTATAAATATATTTGCAAGAATGGTATGTATCATTAAAATGCTTAATTATAAACTGTGCATAAATTATTATTTTTAAGCAATTACATTTGAGGGAAATACCATTATGAAGCAACATTCAGCCTGTTTTATCAGCCACCAAGAGAATTAAGGCAGCTTGTGATAGAAAGGATGAATGATTATTCATCAGTCAGAGCTGAACATAAATTCTATGTCAACCAGCAGTGCCATGTTACTAGCGTTGCTATTTGGCTAGACTTTTTAAATACGATTTCTCATCACAGTGAATTTGAGTAGAAAATTGCAAAAGAAACACTCCTACTCAGGTTGTCAGACTGGATTTTAATTATTCTCATCTGTTGGCGTTGTTTGCATAAATCGTAGAATCTAAAGTGAATCATCTTGTCATAGCTTCTCAAATATTTACATCTTCCACATAATGTCAAAAAGCAAAGATTGAGATTATAAAGGAGAGTCTAATCTGGTAAACATTTTGCTCTCTCTTTCATGCTGCAATTGATACATATTTTCTCCACTAAAATAGTACTAAAGGAGTAGAGAACTGAAGAAAATAATCTCTTACTCTGGCTGTGTGTATATATGTATATACATATAGAACGAAATATGTAACAACAACATTGAATTACTAACTGATTGGAAATTTTGAAGAAAAAGGATAAAGATCTAGAAATAAGTGACAAATGGGCCAAAGTGTAATATGTTAGGTCATTTCTGACTAGCCAGATATACTTCAAAATATAACTAATTTTCTAGATCAAGGAATGTAGTAGATTCATTGATCTAGACTTTCTTAAGGCTTTTGTTGTCACACCTAAAAAAGAAGTAGAAAAGGTTAGTAGACAAGAGGCATGCTTAAAATGTAAATTTTTAGGCCAAAAGGCAGTCAGCCTAGTGGGCTTCTTAAAGACCTTTCACATGACTCACGAGACTTCAGTTTTCTTGTTCTGATAGCATAAAAAGTAGAAAGCCCTGTTGAAATTTGCTGACAGTGCAGCACTAGCAGACATATGGAGAAGACTGGGATATGTTGTAGTCGTGATAAAGGCAGATTTGATTTTAGGATGTGTTTGTTTAAAAGTATTAATGACACTAGATAAGGCACTAGTAAGATCCCTCTGGAGTACTGGGCACAGTCTGTATTGTGGTTGTAATAAACTCAGGTGTGAGCAGATGCACAGAAGGGTTGTAAGGTTGACCAAAGGAATGGTGTATCTAACACAGAGACTGCAAGAGTTGACTTAATACAATGAAGTTACATAAACTGAAAGACCATTTTGACTTTAAAAAATTAAATTGGCAATTAATGCATCTAGAATGGAAATTGGAATATAGTAGTCACAGGTGTGAAGTTCAGAGAAGAAAAATGTACCTGGGCTTGAAGTGGAGCTTGATCAATTTATGAAAGGGGTTACATAGAGTGCTTCCCAGCAACAGAAGGGTGTTGCTTCTAGCTGTGTGTTCCAAGATCCTGTGTTCCAAGGTTATTCAATTGCCCTTATAGTGCAAGATCTCACTGAATTTCAGCTTTATATCATTTCATGTAATTGAAATATTAGATGCTGAGAATGCTATAAATGGAACATCTTTATGTGAAGCTCTCCATTCTTTCATACCTGATGGATGAATATCTGAAAGAGAATGTCTGTGTGTTAACACAGTCAACTGATAGCTGTGGAGACATACTTCAGGCCCTTGAGGGTCCCCTATGCTACTGATTGGAGTTGTATCTCAATTCCAACTGGACCTAACTATCTAGGTAAATGATTTTTTTTCCAACATGTAAAGCACATAACTTGAAAATTAGCAGAAAAATAGAGGTTGAATACTGTTCAAAAATGGTGTTTTCTTTTTAGCTTGTTCATGTAGATTTGTGTGTGTAGGATACACTTGGAAAACAGTCTGGCAGCCTTCTGTGCTGTTTAGTAGTACCTGCTGTTGTCTAATGTGGCATCCGGGTACGTGTAGAATGAAGAGCAAATGGAAGATGCTGATTGGTTTACTTGGCTGTAAGACATGTATCTCATATTATTCATTATCTTTTTCATAAACAAAGCTTACTTTAAAATGATTGGGATGTTTATGGATAACCTGAGATGTCAGACGTGTGAAATGATTTACAACCTGATTTTAAGTGCCTACTTTGTGAAGGTTATGTGTATTTATAATCAAAAAGGAGATCCCAGCAGCAAAACTCCGGATTCTGGATTTAGGTATTGCAGTAGAGTGAAGACTCCAGCATTAGGCATAGTTGGTCTCAACATGGTTAATGATTTTGAGGTGAGGTGAAGATGCAGGTGATTTTGAGGGCTGAATCAAAGTTCTCACCTGCTAAACAGGCATCCTGTAAGAAACGGTATGTTGAGTGATGAATCTAACGACTCTCCTGTTTGTCAGGAACAAGAATGTTAGAGTTGAGGACACATGGAACATATTTATGTGCGTAGGATCCAGCCTGCTGGGTTTTCCCAAGAGTATTTGAATTAACAAGGCTCTATTTTTACGTAAGGGATAATACCCATATTTTGCAGGATGCCATGACAGTTACCTATTAAATAGCAATTCCCTATTGCAGAGTGAAGAGGTTTCAGCTGGGCGTACATATCCAGAAGAGTACTCTTAACTGTGTGCTATAGAAAGTTCAGGAGTCTAAGAGGGTAGGGAAGGGGAAAAAATTTTTAATAAGCGTTCTGGGCCACAGTGCAGCTAGGGATGCAAGATTCATGGGGCTCATGGCAGGAAGACAAGAAAGAGGTGTAATCTGTAACCAGAAAATAAGACATTCATCTAGCACAGGCAGGTATGGATTTTCATCCTTGGTTTCAAGGTGGTTTAAACATTTTACATCAGACCATAATTGAATAAAAACTAGAAATAATGTACAGACTAGAAACCACAGTCTTGCCACCTTAGCTAAACTAACCACTAAATCACAGAAGTTACGGTGTTCTCATGGGAATTAGGAATCCCCTCAGAGTGAGAAGGGATCATAGCTACTCCTGCATCTGCAGCTTCGTGGGGAAGTGCATGCCATCCTCAAGACTCATGAAAAAGGAGGTTACCATTTTCCCCATGACCTTTGCACATAACTTCATGAAGACATTTCACATGTCTGTAGACTGGGAGGCTTCTGTTCATAGCCAAGAAGGACGCTTTGGGGGCCAAACTTCTGGCATCTTAAGGCTAGGCTTGACTCACTGTGGAATTAAATACCTGAATTCTATGTGGATCACATTTTATGAACCAAAGTAGGAAATTTTATTCTTGTTCATTTTTGTCTAACAAAAGCAGCAATTACAAGGTAAGTTGTTTAGCTTGTTTAAAATGAGCAAAAGGACTACAGATATTTGGTGAAAGAAATCCCATGTTTTTACTGGGATGTTTAGTGCCTGAAAAACAGATTTATGTAATTAATTTTATTACTGCATGTCTACCTCCTATAAAAAGCTTGTCTTAAAATGGAGAGAGGGCTGTAAAGTTGGCAGATATTTGAAGCCAGGATGTTTTAATCCGTATTTAATTGTATGCATTTCACATTTTGGAGAAAGTTAAATAATTGCTTCTGTTTTTAAGAAAGGTTCAGGGCTTTTTGCAGATTTTATCACACAAATAATTGTATTATTTCAGTATTATGAGTACTGCTGTTCAGTAAGAACTGCATATGAATTGCAGATCCACGGTCTTTATGCTAGCAAACATCATACAGCTTGTTCTAAAAAGAGAGGAGGAGGCCGTGTGTACTACTTTTTACAGCAATACTCTGAGCTGCACTGTTGTCATATCAGTGGTTCTTTGATGCCTTTCTTTTGATCCTGTTTTTTAAAAATCAGAAAATCTGCTTAATACGCTACCTTATAATGTTGCCTTGGCAGTGATACATCATTATGTTTTGAGAATAATAATAAATTCTAAACTGCCCTGTTGATGGTTAACAGTGAAAGAGAAGCTGGGAGTGCCAGACAAAATGAGCATTCACAGAGACAAACTGCATCTTTCAGAATGAATAATACTTTTATTATTTTAATGAAGAAAATGTTTATAGGATAACACGTATAAAAATGCAACACTGTTTCCCAGTATTGCTGGTTTATTTTAAACCAGAGCACATAAACAAATAATTCTGCATTGAAGTGTGACCACATTCTATTTGGTGATGTTTTCTTTGGAAATGTGTCTTTTACTATGAGAGGAGGGTAGAGAGAAAATGGATTTTGTGCAATATACAAATAAAAACGATCTGTTAGTAAATCTATAAATATATTCCCTTTGTTTTAGAAAACAACAGCAATTTAAAATCCTCTCTCAGTGGGGTGGCCTAAAATTGAAGGAAAATGAGAGATTTATTGTGGTCAGGGGGCATTCAGTCAATTGGAATTCACACCCCTGCAGCATTCAGCCAATTAAAGTGGGATGGTAGGATTAATAATCAATAGGTGAAAATACACTTTTGCTCAACAAGTGGAAGAGCAAGAATGATTAATTAATGGTGTTTCATTTCATCTCAAGGTGTGCAGAGACAAGAGGTGGTGTGTAAAAGGCTGGATGACAACTCCATTGTACAAAACAATTACTGTGACCCTGACAGTAAGCCTCCAGAAAACCAAAGAGCCTGCAACACTGAGCCTTGCCCACCTGAGTAAGTTATTAGTCACTAAGATGGACATGTGTTTTGCATAGATAGAAGAGTCTTTGTGATCTATAATAAATGCTGTTGACCAAACGTGTATAAAATTCTGACCTAGGATTAGGGTCCTGTCTTATCAGTCAGGATATTTGGTTTTGGTCTTTTTGTTACGCTTTCTTGTTCCTCTGAAATCAGTTGTGGAAAATACACACTTTGACCTAGAGGAGGCCTGATTTGACTGAGGAACAGTGGTGTTTAAACTACACAAAGCAGATCAGACATTCTAAGTAAAAACGTACTATCAAAGCAGTTTTGGGGGTGTAAAAGTCAGATATGGTGAGTAGTGCTCAGAGTAGAACTGGGAACCATTCTTAAGGTAATAGTTACAGAATAATCTTGAGGTGACACTAACTTTGCCATAGATATTTATATTACATACTAAATGTTGCTATATTTTTAAGTCTATTATATTAAAATTTGGGTTGAAGTGTTCACATGAGAAATAGCAAATGTAGAAACTGCTTAATAGACCAAACCATTTACTGATAATAATTTTGTCAAACAACTTTTTCTCCAGGATACTCAGTGTTGTACAGTAATGCTGTGTGCCTTTAGGATTAGGTGTCTACTTGGTTACATCTATTTAGTTTTATTTTTAAAGATAGCTGTATGCTATATGTTGAAAAGATAATTAAAACCACAGCAGCTCATTTGTTCAAGAATGAAATTTGGCAAGGACCTGTAGCATAGCTACAAAAGCTGTTTAGGAAACAGTTGTGATATTTTGCACTAGAAAACAATTTCAGCATATGCACAACAGCTCCTTCTTATGTTTTGAGACAAATAAAACTTGTTGAAAAAATGGAAGAGATACAACAGTTTATTGATTCACAAGCTCTGGTTAGTTTAAATTTGGTGATAATCTGTAGCTATATTCTAACTGGGCATGAAAATCATTAATGCTGATTAAATGTAGTTGTTGCACAATAAAGAAATGCTGTGGTCTCTTTTAAATGACTCTTAGAAACCGTAAAATTGTAGCATGAAGGACACTGGAAGGAATTAGACAAGACTGTAATGCGTTAAAGTCCCAACAGGTCTTCATGAAGCCAGTTTCTTCCTAGAGTATCAACGGCTTCCCCCTGTGTGGTTACTGGTTGCAGGATGGCAGAGCAATGTCTTCTGCACTTACTCCCCTTCTGTCATGTACCATACTCATGTGACATAAACAGAAGTGAAGCCATTACACTGCTCTCACCTTGAGTGTGACTGAATGTGAATGTGCTGTCTCACAAACAGGTCTAAAGTAGGTCTAAATCATTGTCCCCACGGTCTATATGTAAATATATGTTTGCCCTGCAAGGATATACACTTGGCTTCTGTTCGGGTAATGCTGTTTAGCATGGCTCTAAGTGCACTAACTAAACTCTCACACCATGTACCTGAGAGCAGAACTTAGGAAGTGGTCATGTTTGGTCAGTTCCTTTTTACCAAACACATCCCTATCCCTTCCTTTGTGTGGCTTAACTATTTATTTAAAAACCAAAACCAAGAAAAAAAACCCCAACCCACAAAGTGGGACACTTCCGGATTCTCTATCCAGTACAGCAGGGACATTGATGAACATGGCAAAACTCAGGTCATCAAGATTCAGAAAGTGGGTGGTGTGTATTAACCAGCATCTGCTTGAACATGTCAGAGCAGTTCAGCCCACATCTGCCTCCAGTCCCATGTTCCCCACAGGGTGAATACAAAGTGCCAAACTCCTAAGGAACGGTTCTTGATTCCTGACCCTGTAAGTAGTCTAGAAGAACTTGGCTGTTCAAATAACAGATAGTTACCCAAAGAAGTTTGACCCTTTTGACTGGAAGATTTATCACCCAGTAAGACTTACTCTTTACATAGAGTGGCCAAATATTTCCATTTTTAATTAGCACAATTCTGCTTTCCTTCTGGTGTATACCAAAAGTTATGAAAATGTTACTCTTTCTAGCTGAATGCCAGTTACATTATACTTGAAGTCTCTGAGCAGAAGTGAAGACTATGTTTGTTCATAATTGTTTTGTTTGTTATTACAATAAGTAGCCCTTAATATTCCAGATTTCAAGAAATGATACAGGTAACTCTCATAGTTCTATGAATTATGAATAGTACTGTCTTGTCATACAGTATAAACATAAAAGGTACTTGAGCAAATCATAGTACCAACTAAAAATTAACACTTCAGTCTCTCCAGAGCTCTGAAATGCTTCTAATTCTCCCTGCTGTGGTAAAAGCATGTTTGGTGGCAAAGAATCACAAATTAATTCTCTTTCGCTGGGAGGTTAATGACAGAATATGGCATATTTGTTTGCATCTCTGCATTGATCTAGGTTCTTCTTAGAATATATTATACATTCTATAACATAAGACAAGATAGCAGCACATCTTTTTTGACAGAGGCTTCAGAAAATGACAAATCTTAGGAGGTAGCTCCAAGCATACCTCCAGGACCATCCACAGTGACTGACATGCCTGGCATTTTTGGCATGTTGGCAACATGTGATAGCATACTAGACTTCACCTTCATCCTTTGCAAGGATGATTCAGGCAAGTGTATCTAATCAACATATGAAATATTGAAGACCAAATGTGATTGAATATGTGAAGAGATATATCCAGTGAATTGAGCTGCATTAACCATTCATCAGGAGGGAAAGGAAAAAAAAAAAAGAGTATTACAGCCAGATTAACAGCTGCTTTAAGCAACACAAAATAATCTAAATATACTGTCCAACTCCTGACTTTTACTACGGACATGCACTCAGAAGTTCTCTCTAGCACCTTTCATGCAGTGCTTTAAATTTTTTATGTGATGAATTAAAGTTTTACTAGTGTTTGCATTACTTACTCTAATAAGTAAGAATATTTTGCATTTCAGTATAGCCTTTTATAAAAAAGTTTAGAAATTTTTCATAATCAGATGAGAATTAACTCTCAGAAATCCCAATTTTGAGATCAAATTATTTTAATGTAATTATACTGGAGAGGCAACCAGCTTGGCTTTTAACTTGTGCTGTAACCTACAGTAGTGGTTCCCAGACATTTCCATTTGCAAAACCACTTTCAGAGAAATAATTTCAGGCAAGTCAAGTACAAATCTACTTAAATAGCTGCAGTTTTGTCAGGCTCAACAGTCCTTTCTAACTACTATAGCCTAAGCTGCAAATTGCTGCTCTAGAAAAATACAAAGTAGTATTATTACTGGAAGATATGATTGCAGTAAGGCATAAATTAAATGTTCAGTAAAAAGACCCATAAGTTTCTACTTTATTTCACTGTGAATACATGTATTGTTAACAATGATTTAGGTTTAGTAATTTAAACTATTTGGCTTCTGGGTTTGTGCAATTATCTACTCTGTTTCCAAAATGCATTAACTGAGTCTCCTAACCTTTTCTATCCAGGTGGTTTATAGGAGATTGGTCAGAATGCAGTAAGACCTGTGATGGAGGAATGCGTTCACGAACAGTTCTCTGTATCAGAAAGATTGGACCTTCTGAGGAGGAGACACTGGACAATACCAACTGTTTAACACACCGGCCTATTGAAAAAGAACACTGTAACAATCAGTCCTGTCCCCCACAGTGGGTCGCTTTGGACTGGTCAGAAGTAAGGAAATTTTGCTGTGTTAGCTCATTGGTAATAGTGGAGGCAAGAGCTCTGACCACTGAATGTTAGTACATTTTCTCTCTCTGCTTGCTAAGTAAAGGATTAATAAGAAATTCAAAACCTCATAGATTTAGTATTGAAGCATTTTTTTCTTTTTTCTTTCCTTCTATGTTGTCAGTTGTGTTGTTTTGTCAAATGATTATGACTTGGTTTTATTAATCACAGTAGTAAAATACAAAATAGAGTAGTAAAAAAACCCCAGTAAAACAAAAAAAGCCTAGAATAGCCGTTTGGTATGAGATAATTGTCTTAAAGAAAAAAGCAATTTCCGTGGTTTTTTGAACAAGCAAATAGCTGGATAGTAGAGAAGATGAGTTTACAATATCAGAAGCTGGAATAAACTGCTTTTTTTTTTCTGAAGTAACCATGCTGATGTAAAGCATCACCTTTCTTAGCAACATGCCTCAAGAGGCAGACCTGAAAGTTGGTATTCTCTTTATTAAAGAAAGAACATCTTTTGTTAAGTATGGTGATACCTATTACAGTATAAGCCAAGCTTATACTATAACTTGAATCAGTATAAGTATTGAATTTGAAGAATGTGAACGAGTACAGCTGAAAGGAAAGGTAAATACATTTGAATGGGACTGCATCACATGCAAATCAGAGTTCAAAAATGTCTGTATACTTTTTCAGATCCTTGCCATCCTGGACTCCCATCCTACCCAACTTTTTTTTCAAAGTATAAGTTAGGATTTCCTGAGTTTCCATGTCTGTGTCCTTGTTGTCAAATGCAGCTGTATCATATAATTGCTTTCATACATTGATTAAACTATGTTTTAAAATTAGTTAATTTGGGGGTTTGTCCCACTGCTTCTAGGAGAACTATTCCTGAACTTCAGTCTTTGAATTGCAAGCAGTGGTCTAATGTTCTGTTTTAGTTCCACACCAGTTTATACCTGTTTGCTTTTGTTATCTGAAACAGCCCTTCCTCCTCTCCAGGTATTATTCATCAGAAATGAATTAATCTTGATCACATTCTGCTTTCATGTTTCAGTTGAAAGTTGTCTTTTTGGGAATGGATGACTAGAGTTAAATGTATATATTATCCCAGAGGAGGTTTCACATGTGGCTCATTCTTTTGTTTCCTGCCTCTACTGGTAATACCCATAATGTACAGTGTATCAGTATACCCTAAATAAGCTGCTTCTGTTCCACAACTATCACACACTGATTACGTAAAGTCATCTTGCACTCTGTTAATATATCCAGATCTTTATCCTCTTTTCATTTCTTGGTTTTTATTTTTGGAAATGCATGCTCTTGCATGTCATACTGCCAAAATTCACTTCATTTCAGGTATTAATGTTGTTATAGTTGTCCAGCTCTTTCTGTAGAGCATACCTCTGTAGCATCAAGGTCAGTTAACTACCTGTGCTATCTGCTAGTTTCAGTAATTTCAGAAACACTGAACAACTGAAACTACTTTTGTGGTGAACATCATCAAGTAGACTGGAAAGAAATACAAATCAGATCAGTCCTATGACTGATCCTAGAAGGTCTTTGCAGGTAGCATCTCTCAAATCCTAAACTTCACCCAGTTGTCATCCCCCTTTCAAATACTCTACTGAAGCCCAGGTAGGTTAGAACTGTTGCACTTCCTTTGTCTAAAAAAATGAAGGGAGACCATTAGAATAAATTGGAATGATCTACCAATGATATACCCATGAATCATTGTATCTGCTTTTTGTGTACTTGCTTGCCTTTGAAGTGTCTTTCATTCAAAGTAATGATAAATCACTGGATACTATAAAGAAGGTTGATGTGCATGTAGTTGCACAGATCTCTTCTACGCCCAGATACATTTAGCTACAAAAGTTTTTAAAGTCTCTGGAAATTCAAAGCATGAAGAACGAAGCCTACTAGCATCACTGTGAGCACCCATAGAAGTGGTACAGAACAGCTCTTAACCATAATTGGTTAATGCAGGTAATATAGTTTACTAAATCCCAGAGTGTTTGAGGTTGGAAGAGACCTCTGGATGTCATCTTGTCTAACCCCCCCAGCTCAAGCAGGGCTGCCTAGAGCCAGTTACCCAGGACCACGTCCAGACAGCTTTTTAGTACCTCCAGTGATGGAGACTCCATCCGCTATTAGTTAATAATAGTCTAAGCATTATGGCAGTACTTAAAAGTGGTAATGTCTGCATGTTAAATTACAGTGCTGTGAGCTGTCATTGAAGCTGTTGTTGTTCATCTCCTTGCTGTCTGAATTTCATGCTTGTATAATCTCCATCTGTTGTTCTTAGCTGAAGAAACTACTTCTGTAGACAATTTGTTTATTATTGTTATTTTTCTTTGAACAAAAGGAACAGTACAGCAAATTGACATATTTTTAACTGGTTTTGTTCTGAAGGAATTATGAATGAAATGCCATTTTAGTGAGCTTTTATATCAAAGAAAAATCTTCTAAAGTACAGTGTGAACTTCTGAAATTTTTTTGTTTTCATTACTTTATCAGACAGGTGCTTTTACTTATATTCTGAATCTCCTGTTATTTGTACCAGGTTTTGTTAATAATCCTCAGTCATTCCCAGACTATAACTCAATCTGTCTCTGGTTTTATTCAGTTTAAGGTAACAGATATTTTTTGGAATCAGTTCTATAAAAGGTTGTCAGTTTTATAACCTGAAACCTGAAAAGCAGTTTCTTCTAGCAGCTTTCCTCAGAGTAGGTCAGGACTTCAAGAAACCTAGAAATGGCATAGTGAATCTTAAAGTGTGTGTTGTTCTACATGCAGAACAATATGTTTTTTTACCCCACTGTTAGCCAGCATTTCACAAAAGAAGTAGGGTGCTAAAATCAAGGCAGAAAAGGTATTAAATGGTCCTTGTCCCGACCTGAAAAGGTACAGTATATTCCAGCCCTTTGAAAATTAATCTGACTTAGAGCAGAAAGGAGTGAAAAGGAAAGAATGGATGAGTAGGAAGGGATGTTCATTTGAAGACTGTCATACCACATCTGTGGCATTGATAGTTTGTTAGCTCTTTGCATCTGTTATCACAGTACTTTACTTCTGATTGGAATATCTAGGCATCATCTCAGTACTAACAAATAATAGTATCCATATGACAAGTTTACAGAGCTGTAGATCTATGTTGTCTATATACTATTGCCCTTTAGCTACCTCCTGGAGACATTGCTCACTAATACATCATCCTTAGACTATCAACATTACCACCCTCGTAAGAAGCTTCAACAACTTTTTAAGGCCTTCATATCCAGCCTTTTATACAGCAGGAGCATGTTATAATTTTGAACAAAATCATTCTAAACATTCTAAAGATTCAAGCTCTGCTGAGATTGTGAAAAAATGCCAGCTTCTTTCTGGTATGAATTTTGCCTGGTGTTTGCCTGGTATAGCTTGGCAAACTGTCTTGACTAATGATACCATTTTAATACAATGAGAAAAATAGCTTTTTTTTCTGTTCAGGGTTCCCAGAAATATAATCTATTAAAATTCTTATAGTACTATACATATAAACATTTATTTATATGTATTTATATGATTTTCTGACAGAATCACAAAAATTAAAACAAGAGTGAACTCAAAAAGTGAAGAGTTCAACACTGCTTCCATTGAAGCCAATGGCAAACCTTGCTACTTTTCTCTGGAATGCAAGTTCTAAAGTTTTGGTTTCATACTCAAAACAAGCAATATGTGGTACAAATTAAACAAATATAGAACTCTCTTATATGCTAATGTACTTGTTGAGCATCAGTATAGTTACACATTTTTTTAGCCTTCAGGGTTAATTAACAAGAAATTCTGCATCTTTATGGTCAGAGAAACAAATCATTTTGTAAACATAGAGATTAAATAAAGTCCTTAGGAGAATGTAAAAGTGCTTTTATCAAATAGTAATTAAAGCTAACTGTCTTGCCCAATGGAATGTAGTCATTCTCAGGTAATGTCAGTTTTGTCATAAAAGTTTTCGCGCTTTGCAATAGTTGAGCTTTGACTGAATTATTCTGCCCACTGTAAATTACTTCTTTTATGTTTTTCCAGATAATAAAATAAACTGGAAAAAAACAATCTAAGGATTTCTTGAGAGAAGCCTTATCAGACAAGCACATTTACTTTGCATTCATATTACCATTAGTCATGACTTCCACTGAGTGAGTCAAAAATTCTAGAAGCATTTAGTAATGGAAGACACTTCTTTCTGTTTTTGTTTGTCTGGGCATTTTGTCTTGCATTTACTTTGGACACATACATTTTTCGTTAAATTCTACTGATACTTTTTATTTTTGGTGATTCAGTATTATTGTAGGCAACTTATTTCCTTACTTCACTTTCATTTCTGGGGACTGGGTGTAGTCCATCTTATTTAGTGGAATTTTGAAATTTAGTTTTCTTCTGGTACCAGTAGCTGAAAGAAGATTTTTCTCAGGTGAGAGATTAGACATAGATAAAACAATGTGTCTTCAAGAAGGACTAGAAAATGGATGCACCTAAACTCAAATTTTGATCCTCAAACTCTTACTTGCTTGCTAACACATTCTAGAGATTATGAAACAGCATAGGCACATTGGGTTTTGACATTTTTTACAAGGTCCTTTCAACCTTGTGTCTTTTCTGTTTGTTTTTGACAGAATGCTCAGTCAGTGAGAGGAAGAAATTGAGCGCGGGTGATTTTTAAGTACTCAGCTAGAAAGGGGCACTTGCTTCTAGTTCCTGCTTAAACGTCATGCATTTTACATGAAATATTTGTGGTAGAAAATAAATGCAACATTCCATGGAATTTGGACCTGAACTTAAGGAGTCATGATCATGATGCTGAAGACCTCACACATTTGTTATTCTTCTTTGGTCTCTATTTAGTATTAATAGTGTTATTGCAGTTTGGCCAGAGAGATAGAGATCTTTCTTCTCTTACTTCCCTCCTTCCTGTAGTTTTCTAGTAGGCATGTATTTAGGGTACACAAGATTTGGGGTTAAAGGCCCTTCAGTATGAGGACGATTGAACCTGGCTATTCTGTATCAGAATTCTGAATGCTGAACTACTGTAGATAAGGAGGCAGTACCTTGGTAGGAAGGGATAGAATAGCATAGGAAAGTAAAGGTTAATTTTTAAGGAAAGTGATTATATACCCATTTTGCAGTTCTGGATTATAAACTCCAAATGGAAGACCCATCTCTTTGCAGCCTTGTTTAAGATCTTAAACCTAAGCGGAGATAAGATTTAGGATAAACCTATCCATTCTGCATTGGTTAGTTTAGGTGTCTCCCACTGAGAGATTTTCTTAAAGATCTTGTTTTGAGGTATATATGTATACACCTTTACATATGTATAGGGAGTATCAATATCTTACATAGTACTGTGGCACTATTCTAAAATTTCTTTAAGTTAGGCAGAGATGCTTCGGGATTAGGCATACAACAGTAAAGTTTGGATCACTCGTCATTTTTTTGAAAATGAATCTTAGGTTGGTTTTTTTTCCCCTGGTTATATACTGACCTGTTTTGGATGTGTCAAAGGCCTTTGGTGTGTGACCTCTTGAATATTGCTTCGGTCCACATAGTGTTTTTTCCCAGATAATGTTTTGTCTCTATAGCTGCTTTCATATGAAAGGCAGTTCCCCTCTTGACAGATTTAGCATAATCTGTATGTAAGGTTTATGCTATCAGAAACTGGTTCTCGTCCAAATACTGCAGATATGCTTATGGGATAAAAGTTAACATGCCAAACTGTGCTTGCAAAATCTCCTGGTCAGATGTTAAAGAGGGACTGATTTGGGGAAGGTCTTGAGTTTTAATTTTGTTAGCACTTGTCTCTTCCCCATTCTGCAGTTGTGCTAATGTAAATGACAGTTAATAGTCAGGAGCAAAAAGGAAGGAGAAGTGGGGGGTGGACCAAGATGAAGAAAGAGGAGGAAAAGCAGAGGTCATCAGAACTGCTTCTTTTCAAATTACTGTTTTATTATCTGCTTGCTGTTAGAACAAGCAGAGGAGTGATAAAAGGAGGTAAACCAAAAACTGTGTGAAAACAGAAATAAAATTTAATTAGGAGAGGAGAGAAAAGCATGCATTGTAGGAGAGGGTACAGTATTTCTATCTGAATAGTCTGGTTTCTATGGAGTCCAGTAAACCATTTATCTTCCCATATGTTTATTGAGGAAAAATGTGTTCATTGTAGCTCAGTAGTCTGTAACTGAGGTGGAGAAAGACTGTACTAAGGTCATATTAAGAACAGAGACTTCTACTTTTAATTTCTGAAATGCACACTCAAGTTTGTTTCATAATAGTGCTACATGTGGCCAACCTTTCTATTTTGCAGCAAAGTGCTTTTCTTAAACCTAACCTAAAGGCTCTTATATGTAAGTAAATAGTAACACCATAGCCCAAATATAAATAGCAAAGGAAATCTACTTTTATCAGAGTCGTCTGTTTTCCATAACTTTTCTGACACTTTTATTGACTTTTTACTGAGGTTTTAATTGTTTATTTATATAATTATTTTTTTTTTAGTGCACACCAAAATGTGGCCCAGGATTCAAACACCGAATTGTTCTGTGCAAAAGCAGCGATCTTTTAAAAACTTTTCCAGCCGCGCAATGCCAAGAGGAAAGCAAGCCGCCGGTCCGCATCCGCTGTAGTTTAGGCCGATGTCCTCCTCCTCGCTGGGTTACTGGAGACTGGGGACAGGTAAAATAGTTCATATAAGTATTTATTGCTGTTAGTCTCCTACACATTAGCACCTTCTAAGGATAAGATGTTGCTGTAAGTGGATAAGAGATGGTTCACATGACTGAAACAAATAGCTTCTCCCCTATTTGTCTCAGATTGAAGTGTGGTTCTGAATGATAGTTGTCTGCTGAACTGTGAAGGATTTGCTGACAGCAATCTAGTTTCTACTGCGTGAGTTTGTGTATGCATTTTTTAAAAAATTAAATAGTCCGTATTACAGTTTTTTTGGAAGGGGATTTGGGTGTACAGCAGTGTTGCAAGGTTTAGTATTTTTAAAACACATCTAACTTCCTTGAGAAACATGATTGAAATACAAAGCCAATTCCTGTTTTAGTAGGATACATATATAGCCACCAAAAAACCTTTGAGATCTAATTTTACATAAAATATACTGAATTACCAGACAGGGAGATAAATTGTTACAGGACAGGCTGAATAGCAGTGTCATTATGCAGTATTTATAAATATGATATACTGAGTTTCCTTCTTTATGTTTTTGCATTTCAGTTATGATCAATGGCCTGTTTTTAAAATAATAAATGGATGTTTCAGTTTCTAAGTTTGTTGAGGAATTTGCCACTAATGAAAATGAACCACTTTAGCTTAACTGACCGGGGGACAATCATTCGTGGTATTGCGGTCTAATCAGCCTTTCTTTTATGGTATTTGTTCAGATGCACATTTATGTTAAATTGATATTGTGCTAAAACCTCTGTTTAGTTACAGAAATTAAAAAATGTTTTGAAACAGCAAAGTATTTTTGTTTGAAAGATAGTTTCCTTTTCCTTAAAAAAGTCCTCTAGCAGATTTGAATTCTTGTTCTCCTTGGGTTTTCTTCTTTATTCTAAAGTGACCATTTCTTTCTTGAAAACAGGCACTTAAACTCAGACATGATATATGAAATAGTGTAAATTATATTCTTATACCTTAATTCTGAACTGTTCAGGGAGCCAACATTGCATTGTGTTTTATTTTCTTTGAAAGACAAGTTCTTGCATATACTGTCAAAAAAGAAAAATTCTAAACTATTTTATGAAAATTATTTTCTTTATTAATCAAATCTCTTTTTCATATGCCTTTTATCTTTAACATTTGTGTATGTGTACCCTTCCTGATTGCTTTCCTGTTATCTTGTTTTATATTTAAAAATCGGATCCAAGTCGTTCTACTTTTTTATCTTTCTTATTTTTAGTGTTCTGCACAGTGTGGTCTTGGGCAACAGATGAGAACAGTACAGTGCCTCTCATATACTGGACAAGCATCCAGCGAGTGTCCAGAAACAGTTAGACCTCCATCAATGCAGCAGTGTGAAAGTAAATGTGACAGTACTCCCATTTCCAACACAGAGGGTAAGTTTGCCATCATAATACGATTTATTCTGGAAAGAGTGAAGTGACGTGGTCAGTGGTACTGCATTAATTTATTAGTAAAAGTCTACATGACATCATCTCTGACTGTGAATTTTTTACAATTATTTTCTAATTAGTCATTGTAATTCAAAGGTGAAGTCAATAAAAACCTAAATACATGTTCTTTGTTTAAAAAACCTCCCTTAAAAATACATAGCCTAAGTCATGAACAAAATACCATTGTTTTGTGTCATTAATTTTCCAGTCTCTTTATTGGTTCAATGGAAATGTCGCTAATAGCAGAGGGAGCATGATATACTTCTCTTCCATTGACCTTCTACCTGCTCCCATCAGGGGTTAACTTAAAAATGTAGTGGCAAAAATACTTAATTATATGTTCATTGAAAGACTGGGACCACAGACTTAATGCTACATGGTGCTACATGCCTGTTCTTATGCTTTGACTTACTTGTCAGCTTCTTCTAATTAACTTTTAATTTCTTGGATTTATAATGCTGTTTGAAATAATTACAGTGTTTTTTACATTATACAGTCTAAGTTAATCAGATGATTAACTAGCTTCATCATAACTTATTTTTGCTAGAAAATATATTAGATAATAATGTCAAAATAAGCTTATTAATGTTTCTGAAAGGCTCCAGATCTGAACTCCTAAATTGTCCAAGCCAACCTATTATGAAATGCTGTCTTCAAAGTAGAATTGGGGTTCTATGCAGTAGAAAAAAAGTTTCCTCATTGACTGTAAAAATTTAGAATAGTTGCTCACCAGATGAGTACATTTCATTTTGGGTGAAAAGGGAAAAGGAATAAAAAATTATCAAAACACACATGTCCAAAAAATCAAGAAAGATTGCACAGCAGTAATAGTTCTTTTAAAACAGTTATTCCCTAAATTTTGATATTCCCTAAATTTTAGACTACTTGACTGCAATATCACTAACACCACTCCTTTTAACATAACTAATTTCTGTGCAGTATATAATGGAGTATCTTTTACACAGGTTCTCCAACTGCTAGAAATTTAATGTTCTATTTATATGGAACAAACACTCTGATTTTAAATTTTTAAAAAAGGCAAATTTATGCTACAGTCTAGCTGGATTGGTGTTCATTCAATTCCTACTGTATCCATTCAGGTTTGCACCATAGATTCAAAGTTATCATAGAAATCTGTCAAATGGAGATGTCTGTGATGAAATGGGAGCACACTAAAATCTTCCCAGACATACAATGATGATTCAGTGTGTGAGCACTGTAATTTATGGATTGGAAGTTTCAATTTTAAACAGAGGCTTTAAATCATCCCATATTGTCATTTGAAAAATCTTCATAATAGAATTTTCCTTGGTTATTTTAATTCCCATTTTTATGTGTAGTGCTCTCAAGTAATCTTTACGTGATGATTATCAGTCTAGAAAACTTTCTGCTCTTTAAAGCTCAGAGGCTAAATGATATTTTATTTTCAAACACAGATGTTGACTTTTTCCAAAGTAAGGAAGGTAATAAAGTGCTTATAAGTGGGCATGGTTTAGTCCCAGTGTCCTCTTAATTTCAAGATGACAAGGTTATGTTGTTACTTATAGTCATTATGTTAGTAATTCTTCAATATTATCAGGAAAATCTGCTAATCTCCTACAGATTAATACAATCAGGGTTTTTCTGTGTGTGATCTGTGTACCCTGGGTGGCTGTGGACTTTACAGTGGAACTGTGCAGGGTAACTGTGAGAAGTGAGCCTGTTTGCAATAGTGTTTTTCAGGGACCTACACCTGCACTGGAAAATTTTGGGGATCCACAAACAGAAAATGTTGAAAATCACTTACATAGTATTCCAGATGGACTTCAGCTCTTTGGCCTGCACTCTGAGTGGGCCAGGCGTGAGCCAGTTCTTTACTGACAGCCTTGCAGCCTCATTAGTGCAGTTAGGAAGAATCGAGGGGAAAAAGGTACAGCACAATCTCTTCCAATAGATGCAGTTCCCAACACGTTGTCACTTTGCGTCCCATTTTTGTTTATGGCCCACATTGAAGGTATTTACTAGAAACCACTGATTATTTGTAAGTGATTCAGTGGCTCAAATGGCTCAAAAGTAAACGTGATGTCAAAGTTCATGTAAAATTTAAATATCTACATCCTTTCAGAAGAATCTTGCTGCAATCCATGAAATACTAAGGGTGCCCTATCCCAAAATTAGACAAAAATTTTGTCTTCACGGTGTTTTTTCAATACTTTTGAAATTATTTCTTAAATACATATTCTAATTTATACACATTCCAGAGCTGCCGTTAAGTACTGAATATAAGAAGCACAAACTGAGGATTTGCAGAATAATGTGCATGTATTGCACTTTTCCTGCCTTAAAAAAATCCTCTTAGACACAAGAGGAGCTGACATCCTTTGTGTTAGTGAAGCGTTAGCCTTTAAACAGAGAGGCATATCTTTTTCAGCATAGTAGAGACGGAAAGCCTGTAAGATTTCAAGAACTAACTAATCCTAAAGAGCACAGCTGTTTTTGGAAAGATAATACTTTCTAAGAAAGAAATATTGGAGTTCTGGTATTTCCTTGTGAATGTATTTGTGAGAAGGGCATACTGTGCCTGTACGCTCGCTTCTGTCTCTCTCCAGGTGCAGTGGGATGTGAACTGTGTATCAATATTTGGGTTTCAGGTAATGAGTCAGGTCTCTCAGAGGGAGGGTTTTGGCCCTTGGGAGTGCACATACGTAGCAGAGCATACCTGCTTGTGCGTGGAGACTTTGTCCACATGCCACCTACTAGCACTGCCTCATGCTTTGGGCCCCACTGTGGGGCAGAAGCAATGTCAGCCAACGGGTCATCGGTTTGCAGCAGTGTCAGACTAGCTGAGGGGATTCCCCTCCTATTTCAAACCCCAGCAAACCTCCTGATTCCTTTCACTTGCCAAACTCCAGTGCTCGCAGCCTATGGAACCCATTCAACAATTTACAGACAACTTAATTTTGCTGACCCAAGATAAGAACATACATGGTTTTGAGGAAGCCTGAGCCACTCTGCAGTGTAATGATCACATCAGTAAAGTTTGGAAGCACTTTCTTGGGAAAGGTACAGGTGGTTTACATAAAATAAGAGTCAAAATTTTGGGGATACAGAAATAATAAGAAAGTTACAATACATCTTGTCACATTTTACATCTGCTCTTTGTTTTCTTTACAGTCTTCATTGGTGATTTAGAATATTGTACATAGGGTTTTAACAGGCTGCCACTGATGAGGGTAACACCTGGAAGTGAACTACAGGCAGCATGTACCACACAATTTGAAATGTATTCAGAACTATTTTATTCTCTGAAGTATATATATGTCTGCTGAGTCTAGACTGCTAAAGGCCACCTGAAAACTATTTTATCAATTTTTATGTCATTTTAGTTTTCCTTGTATTTTGTGGGATATGTCTTTGCAGTCTCTTTAGCTGAAGGCCCAGTGACATTCTGTGATTTTATTACTGTAGCATGATACTTAATATAATGTTGTCTGATCTAGCCACAAAGTTTGGGAAGGGAGAGTTTAATACATGTAGCTTACTGAAACTCATTAACAGTAGTTACTAGGAACAAAAAAGGCTCTGCTAAACCTCTTCCATTCATCCACAGTCCTAGGAAGAATAGGCTACTTCATCAGCTACCATATCTATTTCAAAACTGATTTCTAAAACAGAAGTTGTGGGCAACTTCTAGAATATTGTCTCACTGCTGTCCAAATGGCATGGGCTGAACAGGGTCCAGTTTTAGTCAAGAGGAAGAATAACTTAAAGAAACATGAAATGGGATAATTTCAAATCCTAATTCTAGCAAAAACGCAGTTAGTGGCTTTATCTGTATTTAACTAAATACAATGTGTATGAGGGTTATTCTGGGGATTGAGTAAACTTTTTACTTCTTGTCAAGATCAAGTGAACCTTTTTATTCCTCACTTCATTTATAATTCACCATCTGTCTCTCCTATATTCCCAGTCTTCACAAACACAGGGACCTGAAATATTTCTGGAAGATACTTGACCTCTTTTGGGAAGAGTTTTTGAAACTCTGTGAAACACAGTGACCATGTGCAATTGCTGATAGAGAAATATGTCTGTTTCAACCAGCTACCCCCAATGTCTTTTCTCCTGGCATCCAACACTGTTTCCAAATGGAGAATTAAAAAATTAGAAAAGTAGTACATAAAACATTGGGTAGGGGGAGTAAAAAAATTGCAATGAAAGCACTGTATCTGTGTTAATGAAATGAAAGTTTAAATCATTTCATGACCTCTAAGCCTAAAAGCATGCATATTGCCATTTTCAGAAATACCGTTCAGTACAGACCCTGAAGTTCAGCCTCACTAATGCTTTCCTAGGTTCAAATACTAAAAATTCTCATCTGCACTAAACTTGCTATTACAGTATGCTGGCAGCATGAACGCACTGTCCGTAACTACCTGTTCCAGAGCAAAAATAATGTACTAGGAGATGGTATGTAGAAGTAAGACAAACAGGAGTAGCTGAATAGTTGTACATACTGATTGTGTTTGTTTCTCTATTACTTTTTTCTTTTCTTACCTGTTTGGTGTGTCTGTTGTCTCTTTCATATTTGTCTTACAGACATCTCAGAGTCAAGGACTGTTGTTCTGTCAGGCCCTGGAGCAACAGCATCCTGGCTTCCAGTCTTCACTTCTAGATAATCAAATCAATACAAAATACAATAATGGTCAAAGTACTGCTAGTTCATCTCCTTTTTTATTCACATTTTCTTTATAACTGTTGTAATTTGAGAAAGATTGTAGGCGGAAGCCATTATCAAATGCAGCCTTAAAAGATTAAAAACTTACAGCATTCTTTGAGACAAATAATTTTCTTATTCTTCCCATCACTTAATTTTTCTAATTCAAACTTGTGGGGTTTACTTTTTCTCCGTGTATACATCTCTTCCATCTTCCTGCACGCGAAGCAAAGCTCCTTGCCAAAGTCCTATTTTAGTATCAGTCTGGAAGGAACTGTGCAAATGCTTTTAACTAAAACCCCCCTATCAGGCATCTATCACAATGTTCACTCCAGTGCAAAGGAAATCTGCAGCAGCAACATCTGAGAAGTAGAACCTGAGTGTACCCCTGAGCTCTCAGATAGAGCTGTATCTCCAACTGTATCAGAATAAGAACTGGGTGTGGACCATACTTTTCCAGTCCCTGTTCCCACCTTCTTTCCACAGAAAGAAAACTGAGCCAGAGGAGAACCACAGCATGTTCCAGCAGTACTCCTGTAATATACCCCCACAAGTCACTTTAGATACAACCTGTGTGGGATGGAAAAGAAGGAATCCTCCCTCCACATGGTTGAGCTCTTGTTCTCCTTCCTGGGAGCGTTGCCTGCCAGTATGACAAGGGCTGCTGAGGCAGTAAGCCCAGCATATAAGGAAAACAGAACTATGAAAAAAAGCTCTTACATGTCTATTACAAATGTAACAATGGTTTTTCCTCCTGCATAAAAGAAATTGTGGCTGTGTGGAACCAAGCCTAAAGCATAATCTGCCATTCAGTCCAGTCACTGAACTCGCACTGTTGGTGCATTTATTCATAACACTCGTTGTTTTCTCCATCCCTGTTATCTGCAATGCACATTCTATTTCAAGGATGCTTGCAAATGCAGAGACATGGTACCAAACCGTATTAGATTTTAGATAACCTCTCATGGATCATAAAATAACTCCTGAAAAAGAAGCTATAAAAATATTGTAAGAAAAATGACTCATTTCCTAGCTCTCTGAAGTGATCATTTATCCCAATAAATGATAATTCATCCAAGACAAAGTGGGCACACTTCTACATGTCTGGGAGAGAAGCCCTGCAAACGTTTTTATGGCTTTTTAAAACATATTGTGTGCACTAGGCTGGACTAGAGAGAGTAGTTACAGGGAGGCAAGGAGGATGGAGAAGCAGCATATTAAATGTCAAAATATTCTTCGTATTTTAATTTTTATTTCTGATTTTTTTCTGTTTAATGCTCTTAATTATTAGAGTGCAAAGATGTGAACAAAGTGGCATATTGCCCACTGGTGCTGAAGTTCAAGTTCTGCAGTCGAGCATACTTCAGACAGATGTGCTGCAAGACCTGCCAAGGACACTGACCCACAGAAAGCACGAGAATGTGCTTTGTTATTATCATTGTGGAAGAGTGTCCATCGAAGAGAGCCACACAGCGGAATGAGATTGATGTCCTTGCAAATGCATTACCCTGTGGAAAACGTAACCACTGGTCAGCCCCAGCTGACAGGATTTCAATATTATTTTAACTTCTGTGAAGTGGGATTTATTAATCCGAAGTGCTGGACACAGTATAAGGAGGGCATGCCAAATTGGAAAGATCCACACAACACATATAGAATAGCTTACTGTGGAACATTTGTGTTCTTTTGACTAAATCCAATAGTCTGTTTACCTCCTTGGACCATTCAAATAATTTTTATTATGGACTTAGCAATGACACTGAATCCATTTGTATTTAAAACTGTTTAAAATGTAGCTGTTATGACTTGGTCTACTATGGAAGTCAAGAAGAATCAAAAAAAGTTAAGTCATAGCTTGAAAATGTTAACTATTTTATCTCACAACACAGCACCACAATTTAAATTATAAAATGAGCTTGGAAATGTTATTTAAGGAGCAGAAATCTTTAAAAAAATGTATTTTTCCTTCATTCCACCTAATTCCTTTTGGAGTAATCCATATTTCCTGAACACTGCTGTGAGCCATATATCTATACTAAATAGAACAACCATGAGGGACTTAGTTTTAAGAGGTGCAACAGTTATTGCAGTGGTGCATGAAATACAAGTGTGCTATGAAATGAAATGAAATCTGTGTTGCAGGTTTATAGCCATCTTACCATTGTACAAGTGAAGCTGACATTTCCACTGAAAGGGAATATGTTTCAATATCACGGAAGAGGCAGACTCCAACAGTGGTGAAGACCATATTGCCAGCTCCTTCACTACTACTGTACAGGTTGCTTAGAACTTACACTTTGACCCCAGCTCACTTTTGTTTACAACACCAGCCACAAAGAAGAAATCACTTTGTGGGCATCTAGGTCTGGTTTACATGTTACTTTTGATTCTCCAAAACTAAGGAATACCAGTGCAAAAGATAAGCCTATTGTGTAGTAGCAACAATCCTTTACAAAGCTGAAAGTTAAAATGGATTCTAGATGTTGCCTTCTTTGATACCATAGCAGAAGGGCATTTGTTTATGAGAAAGAATACGTGAATGTGCAGTTCAGGAGACCACATCAGAGTGGGCAAGGATTACAACCAAAGACTAAACGACTCGTGGAGGTATCTAGGTTCTGTTCAAATGAGAAGTCACAAGTGTACTTGAGCCAGGAGGCCTGTTGGACTATCAGGAGTAAGGCACACTGGAAAAGGGGTGGCTAGAATGAAGTCTGGCCACCTTCACCTAAATGGCCAGGTACATATTTAAAGCTGGACCATATTTAAAGCTAGGGGCAGCTTTCAGCATGAGACTGGAACAAACTCATGCCTCTGGATTAGTAGCTAGAGGCCTTAACTATTCTGCTGCCATACTCCACTTATTTCATATTACCGTATTTTTAATATTCACCAAATACTTTGCATTTTTAAATGTGAAACCAAACTACTTAGGCAAGTCACATTCAAGAATCTACCATAAAGAAGTTAATTGTCATGCTCCTCTTCCCCATCACTTTTCAATAACAGACTCAACAAGGAGATAAGGAAAGTAGGTACTTGTTTATATTAATATATTGTACTTGAACACTTGCCTTTTGCAGCAGGTACTTGATGAATGTGCTTTTGTGTCCAACTATGCCTCCTTTGTTGTAGTGCAATTAAAATTATGTGAACAATAATGTGTTACAAATTCTAACTCAAATAGCACTTTTTAAAAAAAATACTCTTTTCAGTGAAAAATAATTTCAAAATATCATGAGATTGAAGTGTACCAGTGTATTTTACCAATAACACACCAAATGTGTTGCACACTATTTACTAATGTGAATTAACATGGAACAGTAGATATCGTTAACAGGACTCATGCTATGAAGTCCCCCCAACATACTGACAATCTATCCGTGAGGTTTTGTGTAGCCCACGTATTCATGGCCATCAAATTCCTGTCATCTGCTACCTCTTACCAGTATTTCCACTTTCGTATGCCTGTGACCAGTGGAATTCCTTTTCAGTTGGCTTGCATGTATTCACATATGCTTATCTGGTGCTCTCATCACCATGTAAACAACTCCTGTTAAAACTGACACCAATAGATAAAAAAACCCCAATCTTCGGGAGTTGCACATAGGGATTAAGGGCAGTATTTAGTCCTTCTCTGTTAAGTGAATCAACTTTCTATATCCTTTTGACAAAACACCTTGGTGCTAGCATGCCCTGGCTAGGTCAAAAATATGAAAGGGAAAGGGGTTGCTATGGCATTCCCTAAGCAAGAGGCCTCTTTGTATCAGGGTCCGGGTTTCGCCAGGGCGTGATTTTGTTTATCAGCTAATGTGTCTTTTCAGCTAACAAGAAAAGGGTTTTCTGTCTATTCAAAAGAAACCTTTTTTTCTTTTACCTCACTTAGGACATTAAAATTGTAAGGAGTGTTTCCAAAGACACATTTTGCTCTCTTACTGGTGCTAGAACATTAGGGAGTCCGATGTTTACTCTGCAACATAACAGCACTGAGGTTGGAATTTAAAGAACTCCCTGGAGCAACATCAAATTGTATTGTTAAAGGGAACAAAACACAGAATGTATGTGGATTTACAAACTAAGCAACGCTTCAGACTAAAACCGAGAATGAAACATAATTCAAAGAAAAATAATTAGTTTTCACAGCACAGTTCATTGCTGCTGCTACACTGTAGCCATCTATATAATCTAAGCTAAATAGTGTTATATTCCTAAATAGTGACAAAAGGACTATTTGTATAGGCTATAATTATGACAGGCCTAGAATCAAATAGTAGAATACGAAATGCAGAAATCAATCTGGTGCCAGTTACGTCCACTGAGCAATACTATCAGCTGAAGAAGATCAAACCAGAAAAATCTAGACATAACCCCTCAAGGTGTATACACCCCAAAATAGTCCATTTCGTTAGGAACTTTGTAATGGAGTGAATGTCACATAGATATCCTTAATAATACAGACTGAAATTACCTTTGTATTATTGTGATTAGTTGCTTATTATTTTATACTCAGTATTAATGTGGTACACTGTTACTTTATTATTATTATTTTTGCTTTTGTAAATTATATTCTAATTTATTGTCATGTTTCTTAACACTTGTTCTACATGCATTCTCCTGCTTGTAATGAAAACAAAAATATTGTAACACTTGATGCAGTGAAATTCCACACCAGGCACAGATTTGTTTTTAACATAGATAATTTAGTAAAATAAAACCGCAGCTTTTAAGAATGATACCCCTGGTACAGTTGTCTATTCCCTGACTTACAGTTACTAGAATTCTGTACGCTTAATGTTTGCTTCGTCGGATGCATCAAAATATATATAAGGTGTTTTCTTTCAAGTAACATCTATGTGTTATGCTAGAATCCTGTCCTTGGCAGCAGCGATGTTTGCCATATATAAGCAAAACAATAAGGAAAAGGAAAAGTCAAGAACATGGTCATGTACATTATTAGATAATATTTTTGCCTAACCAATAATGTAGATCAAGAATGAAATTAATGGCAGCAAACATATCCTGTACTTCTTGGAATTATTTCATTAACAGCCAGTCAACAATAACAATAATAATAAAATGTCCTTCTTGCATTGAGCTTCTAAGGTTTTATCTGAAGTTTATCTGAAGCCATGATGTTTTTAAATACAGAGAAAAAAGTAATTTCTGAACACTTGGTGCTTAGGTCACTGTGGCTGAGAGATGCTTCTTTTCTTACCTGGTGCAGTAAAAATATCTTGTATGGAAATCTCTGATAAAGTCCTATGAAATATTTCTTGTTTCTCAGTTAAAATCTAGTTTCTGGTTTAATGAAAATAATCACTCTACTATTATGAGTAAGATGTTACAGAAAGTTCAGAGAATCTTAAATATTTTTATAAGGTGTTTACTAATTTTGGTTATTCTTTTTTATTCTATTTACAAATCAGGATTCAAATAACAATTACCTTTAAAGATACAGGTATTTCTATCTGTGCTATATCACAAAGTTTTATTGCCCTACAGTTGAGAAGTTAAAGATGGAGTAGTCTTAGTAAGTAACAGTCTAATAACTGTTCTCTCTGTCATTCCAAAACCCTGTTGACTTCCCTCCCATACATTCACACTACAAGTTATTACCTGATAGGTTTCCCACTATTGTTCAGTTTTGAGTATTATTCTTCCCCCCTGGAGCATTTGTGCTTTGGATTATAATGACAAACTGGGTACACTGAAACAGATGCTGTTGTGTTTCCTTCTCTTTTCCTCCTCCTGCTGCCTTAAACCTAACATCACCCATGCTGACTACAGAATTCTTGGCACAAAAAATTCCCTTCAGTCTTCTTAAAATACACTCTTCCTGTGCCTGAACTTCCTTCTGGAGCCAACCCTGCTATTATAATTCTGTTATACTTTTTCAGTTTATTTCTGGAGGAAATGGACGCCATTTTTACCAGAGATACTTGCTTTTCCTTTCTTTGATTTCTCTTGCTATACTCCGCAACTGTTCCTTCATCAGTAAACTCCCTGTTCTCTCTGAAGCTATCCGATCTACAAGAAGCACTTTTAAATATCCTCTGTAGAATCCTGAACAGGCCTTTGTTATTTTGCTGACATTATTATTATTATTATTTCTTATTACTAGGACCTAAGATCCAGGACTCTTCTGTGGAGGTTTACAGCAATAGACTTTGGATGAGTCCTGTGAGCCTCATCTGGAGTCAGTCAGTCATCAATCTAAGACTCTTAAAGAGAAGGCCATTACTAAGCTGAGGCTGTCATTCTGCAAGAAGTGACACCCTATCTGGCTGTCTTCCCTTCACCACAAACAACAATTAGGTGGAAGGGATGGATCATTTCTTCTGTGTGGTCCCTCCAAACTTTGTCCTAGACAGAATGGTGTAAGAGCATCTGCATGCAGTAATCAGGATGGAATCCCAAACAGATTTATAAGGGTTCAGTCAGCCACAGAACAAGGTTTGCTACAGCACTAGTGACTTGGTAGTTTCCCAAGTATATTTGGCCGAGCTAAAGGCAGGGAGTTCATGTCCAGTTTAGGAAACCAAGCCACTCAGAATGCAGTATGGCGTGCTTTTAAGGATACTACGTCCCTTAAACTGGCATGTCACCTAAGCACCACATATCATTTATTTTTTTTCTATTTCTGCACAGGACTGACATTTTCATTGAGCTGGACAGGCTACAGGACACATAGTTTATGCTCAGAGGTCATATAGCTGCCAGTCAAAAAATTACTGAAATCTGGCCTGGAAAGGACATAAGTATGTATTTCTGCATTAAGAGTGGGAAGATGCCATTTCTATAAACAGGAAGCCCTTTTCAGTGAAGACCTAGCAAGCTCACTAAATAAATAATCTCACTTCTTTAGTAATCCTGTTTGGAACAAATTCATCGGATCACAGCTTGAGCTAGAAAAGGAAGTGTTTTGGAAGCTAGAAGTGAAGGCT